TCTGTTTACCTAAGTGATTTATATGGGATAAATCTATTAGGTAAACAGAATAGTTAGTAAATGAACGAATCACGTAAACGTTGTCCAAGTCAAGAAACGTTGAAGCGACATAAAACTGTTTATGTGCAGGCGGAGACAGAGTCGAGACCGTAAACCCCGAAAAATAAAACGGAATATAAAAATACGACCATTTTGCGGAATTGTTATAACCCCGGCGTACGCGAATACACAAGGTATCTTGTGGTAATAATCTCCGAGGGACATTTTCCGTGACATGGCAAGATGCTGGTTCTCCCCTGTGTATAAATTCCTAAGTTTAAATTATTTTTATTAATGAACGAGCCTGTTATGCCCAGGTTTTTTTTTACATTCTATTCAAAGAACTTCCAAGGTTTCTAATAAGTTTTAATATTCGCAAAACATTAAGTTGAATGAAAAATAATTTCCTTCGTATAAAACGAATAGCAATATTTATTGTACCGAAATGTATACTTCTATACTAATATCATAAAGAGGAAAGATTTGATTGTTTGTTTGTATTGAATTGGCTCCGAAACTATTGAACCGATTTACAAAATTATTTCACTGTTGGCAAGCCACACTATCCCCGGGTGACACAGGCTATATAATAATAAAATTTTCAAAAAAATTAGGTATTCTTACTAAAACTCCAATAATGTAACCCAATGTGTACAAAAAATACCTAAAATTCTTTACATCGCGTGCGCTACTACCCAAGCGAAACCGGGGCGGTCCGCTAGTCTTTAATAATACTAGGAAATTATAAAAACTGGCAAGGTTTCATGGATGGATCTCTTACTCAAAGGTCTCGCATTGTGCATTGTGCGGGAAGCGAAGGGCAATTCCATGTGACCGTGAGCCTGATTAAATCGATCGTTCGATTCAGTACACAGATCACTTCCTGCATACATCTTTTTTTTTTAAAGTGATTTTATGACCTGGTAACCTGGACCTTTAGGTCAAGTCTTATTTTAATTTTGATGAAAACTTTTTATATGAACCATGATATTATGAAATGAAATGAAGTTGATTAATATGAAACATGGCATAAAATGAAATGAAATGAAATGATATGGGATGAAATATAATCTCAACAAAATGGTGGTCACTTACAGAGACTATTTCAGTGGACTTTTTGGAGGATCCCGAGAAGTTACGTTCAGCGGCTTTGTTTCATTTTCCCACACTTGTGCACTTTCACAGATACTAAACCGTTAATAAACCACCGTTATTACACATTTAAACCTGAAGAAACACTAAATAGACAAAATAAATTACACAGCTTCGCTCCTCGCGTTCCCGCCAAAAAGTCCCATGCATACGTCCCAGTTAGAGTTTGAACAGATTAAAGCGTACACAACACGTAGGTAAAACATTATCGATGCCTTTTTGAACATGACGAATGTGATGGTTTATCTGAGTTTCCTCCTTTAATTCTTTAAAGATCTGCTTATCAAGCATTGCGTGGCATCTTTACATCACATACCGTCATCACATACCGTCCAATACGGATAAAAATCACAGGCGATCGATGGTAATCACGAGGCACGGAGATTTTATGGACACTCAACGAATATTTATCGCGATCAAAATGCTTTTTAAACCCATCGTAATTGAAATAAGTTAAAGTAGCAATGAATTTATCAATGGGTATAACTAAAGCGCTTGGAAATTCTAAAAACACATCGCATTCCTTATGACGATATAAAGTTTGCTATTCATCTCCGATCTGGAATTGAATAAGTCTTTCATAATATAATATAATAGCCTGTGTGTATATGTAACTAGGACATATGCTCTATAGGGATTTAATTATTTTTTAGAATCAGTTTGTTAAGTATCAAATAGGTTAGCCCTAAAATTTACTAGTGTTAGTAAAATACTACGGCGGATAGAACTAATTTTCGTTAATTATATACTATTTAATACTATATAAACTCATGTAAATAGTCTAGATTGTAGTAGGGAACAAAAGGCGGTGTAAGATAGAGAAAATATAAGATTAGGATGAAAGGATAATAGGTAGGATGTTCTCATTAACCAAACCAAACAGACAATTATCACGTTACTTTAGCAGGAGGGGCTAATAATTCCAACAATACCAACACACAGCGGGTATTTCGAAGTACGGCGTTTTCTTTGAATTAATGCTTATTCATTATGTAGGTATGTGTTTATCATCTGCGCAGATTTTTTTTTATTGCTTAGATGGGTGGACGAGCTCACAGCCCACTTGGTGTTAAGTGGTTACTGGAGCCCATCGACATCTACAACGTAAATGCGCCACCCATCTTGATACATAAGTTCTAAGGTTTCAGGTATAGCTACAACGGCTGCCCTACCCTTCAAACTGAAACGAATTACTGCTTCACGGCAGAAATAAGCAGGGTGATGGTACCTATCCGCGCGGACTCTCAAGAGGTCCTACCACCAGTAAATATACATTTATTTTTTTGTTCTACGATCCAATTTTTCAAGAGACGCTATTTACGTCTTTAAAAGCATATCTCACCAAAGATTAACTTTTACATTCAACTACAAATCCACTTCCTTATTTCTTCACTTTATTTTTGGTAGGTTTTCTAATTGCATTTTACACGCAATCTATTCATATTTGGTCATTAATAGTATATTATTAATATTTTCTGAAAATTAAACCCGTTTATTATTACCGGTAATTAAAATTTCTTTCTAAGCCCCGTATTAATCATATTAATAAAACCAAGTTAGAATGTGCGAGGGGCGTACGTACGTAAGTTTAATAATTTATAGTGGGGATACACGCCGCGCCTTATACGTGCTCCACTGTGACATTTTATTAATGATGAACCTTTTAGCTTATTGTTATCGCGTCGTAACATCTCGACTTACCACTGCAGTACTAGCATTAGTCGAGCGAACGATGTACTTACGTGCGATGGCATCGGATTAATAGGCAATTAATCCTTTAGTTACGAGGTGCAACTTAGGTGTTGGAACTACAATTACCTACATAGTTGAGAAAGTTTATGACTTTTTGCTTGTATTCATTGGATTAATAATATATATCCTCTAGTCGCATTAAAACTGTATAATCTCAAAACTTACTAATTTTGCAGGAGAGTGATTTAAAGGTTTAGCATCTGATATTTTCATCTTTGCTAAATTTTTTTTTTTTTTTTTTTTTTTATTGCCTTTGTAGGCAGACGGGCATACGGCCCACCTGATGGTGAGTGGTTACCGTCGCCCATGGACTTCAGCAATGCCAGGGGCAGAGCCAAGCCGCTGCCTACCGCTTAATACTCTTCACAAGCCTCGTTTGAAGAAGGACATGTCATAGCGCTCGGGAAACACCGAGGAGGGGAGCTCATTCCATAGCCGGATGGTACGTGGCAAAAAAGATCTCTGGAAACGCACTGTGGATGACCGCAGTGGCTCCAGGTAGTATGGATGAACTCTACTCCGGTGGCGGGCGGTGCGATGGTAAAAACGAGATGTTGGTATCATCTCGAACAATTCCTCAGAGCACTCCCCATGGAACATACGGTATAAAATACAGAGGGAACCGAAGTCCCTCCGCAGACCCAGAGGCTCCAAACGATCCGTGAGAATGGGATTATCGACAATCGACATTTACTTTTTATTTTTTATCAGTTACATTATTTGTCTTTTAAAGTTAGATAAAATTATGTATTAATTTTGTAAATAGTAGTCAAAACATAGGTAAATTAAACAAAAAAAGTTAAAACTAAACTACGCTCTTTTGACAGTATTTATGAGAAAAATACTGGTGATACCAAATGATTCCGCATATTAACTCTTTTCAAATATTTTTGGAAATTGTACACTAATTTTAATGCGAAAAGACGATATGTCGGAGACGGTCATTAGTTTGGTAGCTAAACGAAACGCAGCACGATTCCCGAGAGATGGCAGCACGATTGCGGTATCGTCGGAACTCGGCTAACTTCGTGCGACAACAGAGCCTAGCCGGTGGAGGCGCGTAGACGCCATCACACTTACCAACTAGCATTCTTGAAGAGCGGTGGCTCCGTCCTAAGAACTGTCATACGTTTCGTCTGCTAAGCTCGATCATCCTATTCGCCCCTATGATGTCTGACGATGGTGTTAATTAATTGTGGCTTCTCCGACATATACAATTTGTTTTAAAACATAATTATGATACAGTTGAGGTTTAAGGTACGACTCTAGACTCGAAACAGCGTTCACACGTCTTATTGAGCAGCCGCCGAAAATACTATAGTTTTCAACGTTCGTCAACGCGAAAAAGCTTGATTTCCAATGATCAGCTCGAATTAGGATATTTTTAGGTTATCCAAAAGACATAAATGAGTAGGCAGGCAAAATATGTACACAATTACCCACACACTTGCTTTTTTTTTTCGGGTAGAGGGCCGAACCTCCTACGAGGTCCCCGCGCCTAGGGGGCGCGCGGGGTATGTGAGACTTAACGATCTGCAGGTGTTGAGAGCAGATCACGGGCCCAAGGATTTTAGGGCCCACCCACTAAATGACTCCCCTGCACTCTTACACCCGGCGTCCGATCTCCGTCCGGGGTCAGAACCTGGACAGAGTAGGGGGGTTCCCGCGGTCAACACTACATACAACCAGACACGCGGCGCCACCCCGAGGACGCCCGACCGACGGGTCGTCGAGGCGATAGTCAACGACCAACGACATCGGTCTCCGCGGTACGGCGGCCCTACCAGACCGCCCGGGCGGTGCCGCTGGTGTTCCGGGATACCCCGCTGGGCCAGAACCAGCCTGCCGGGTCGGAACGCAATACACCGCCGACCGGGTACTCACACACTTGCCTGCCATTCTACTTATATAATAGCACTCTCAAATATGCACTTACATCAATTGCTCGTGTTCCAGGTATCCGAGATAGTTTCATTAAAAATATAGTTTGAAATGAAACTATAGAAATGTCACATTTAAATTGATCGTATAAAAAAAATAACGTGATAAATACTCACAAGTCGGACGAGTCCTGTTCGGTCGCGTTAGCGGTATCCAAGGTCTCTGCGGCGGTAATGTTGCAGAAACTGTAACAAAATCAATTTAAAATTATAATAAAAAAATAAATACGCATTTATGTAAATACATATTAATACGTGAAGCAAAAACTTTGTACCCCTTTTTACGAAAATTGCGCGGGCGGAAGTGTATGGAATTTTCCACACTTATAGAGAATATAGGTATCTATATTATAGAGAATATCGGTAGGCAGCGGCTGGGCTCTGCCCCTGGCATTGCTGAAGTCCATGGGCGACGGTAACCACTCACCATCAGGTGGGCCGTATGCTCGTCTACCTACAAGGGCAATAAAAAAAATATATATAGAGTAGGAGTGCAGAATGTTAATTATAATTATTATTTAAAAGCAGTATAGTAGGTACTACCACCCCGCCTATTTCTGCCGTGAAGCAGTAATGCGTTTCGGTTTGAAGGGTGGGGCAGCCGTTGTAACTATACTGAGACCTTAGAACTTCTATTTCAAGATAGGTGGAGCATTTACGTTGTAGATGTCTATGGGCTCCAGTAACCACAGCTCGTCCGCCCATCTAAGCAATAAAAAAAAAAATGTTTGAATTTCAAACAAATGTTAGGTACATTTGTTTGAAATTCAAACATTTTTTTTGAGAAACTAGATAAAAAAATATCTATGAAATAGTAATGAAACAACCGTTATTGTTGCAAATCGTGAATCGTGCATGTTTGTATTGTGTCTTATATTCGCGATTGGCTCTATCATAAAAACGGTGGCAGAAACCTCTCATATTTCATTTGTTGAAGCAAAAACCGTCAGAATCATTTGTATCGGTCGCTAAGCATCTTTTCGTTTCGATTTATGTTCTTGTATGAACAAAGACACGAAAAAAGGCGTTTCATTGTTCTTTTCATCGATCAAACATCGATAAGATTTTTTTATATAATAATATATTAAAACGGTACCCGGAAACGATTTGAAAATGATTTTAAATGGCAAATACAAAAAATAAATCCGAAATCAATTGTATCGACTTACAAATGTCGACGCACCGACAAAAAATCACCTAAATTGCGTAGCTGAATCTATCGTGATAACTTCTATTAGAAATACTAGTGGTCCAAGAATGAAAGTGCCATTATACAAAAAAAAAGTTTGTTTAATCAATTTAAAAAATCCAAATCATATATATACCCTGAATGTTTGCATTACCGTTTTTTTTTTATTGCTTAGATCGATGGACGATCTCACAGCCCACCTGTTGTTAAATGGTTACTGGAGCCCATAGACATCTACAACGTAAATGCGCCACCCACCTCGAGATATAAGTTCTAAGGTCTCAGTATAGTTACAACGACTACCCCCACCCTTCAAACCGAAACGCATTACTGCTTCACGGCGGAAATAGGCGGGGTGGTGGTACCTACCCGTGCGGACTCACAAGAGGTCCTACCACCAGTGATTACGCAAATTATAATTTTGCGGGTTTGGTTTTTATTACACGATGTTATTCCTTCACCGTGGAAGTCAATCGTGAACATTTGTTGAGTACGTATTTCATTAGAAANACCAGTGATTACGCAAATTATAATTTTGCGGGTTTGGTTTTTATTACACGATGTTATTCCTTCACCGTGGAAGTCAATCGTGAACATTTGTTGAGTACGTATTTCATTAGAAAAATTGGTACCCGCCTGCGGGATTCGAACACCGGTGCATCGCTACATACGAATGCACCGGACGTCTTATCCTTTAGGCCACGACGTCTTCTCGAAGGAAGATATAATAATAACTTATAGTAATAATATACATAATTGGGAACAAATTACGCACAATTATCCGGTCCTAATTTAAGATTCCCTGTATTATGGGTACCAGAGACTGGCATACATACTCATATACGTTTCAATATATACATATATAAATAATAAACACTCAAAGAGCAAATTGACCTATTCATCACACGTTTGCCCGATGTGGGAATCAAACCCACGACCCTTGGCGCAACAGTCAGGGACGATAACTGCGGCACCAGCGAGTCAATTGTCACTTATGCCTTTGTGATTCAACTCTAAAGATACCTGCCTCACCCTCTAGGGATACCTTACATACTCTATGAACGCAACTTTAACTACGAATACTTCATATATTAAGTCCCATTAGCCCAGATTATGCATCAGTAAAACTATACAGCGAAAAAACAGTCTTAATTAACGTCCATATATCTTATCTACTGTTGCTATTAAAGCAAGTTTCGCATTGTACGCATCAAGCGAAGATACAGAAACGACAGCCGATAAGATCAAAAGACAAAAACAAACAAAGCTGCAGCTAATACATGAACAAAGAAAACATGAAAAAAAACCGAAAGCTTCTTAATCTCCGCGACATGTTCGCTAACTACCATACTTTATTATGAAAGAGTCTTTTAAAATTGAAAAAATAAAAGTTAGTATCCTAATCTCATTTGCATATTAATAATATAGTTGAAATACCCATTGATGAACAACTACAGCAACTTGTCGTGTACTTGTCTGAGCGATCTCATTTCTCGATCGTAAAGAAGTCGCATGTAAAAACTCATGATTGACGACAACTTATGCGAAAAAAAAGAGTGTCGAACGATTTGCATAATTAAATCTACAAAGTTTTCAAATCGCCTTTCATCAATTAACCGTTATCAAGTTACCTTCGAATGATCGATGACAATTCATTAAAAATTCATTACGCTATTCGTTTTAAAATTATGTTTCATTCGTCTTTGGAGCCTCTGGGTCTGTGTGGAATTTAGTGGTCTATGTTCTGCACCGTATGTTCGATGGCTACTGCTTTTGGAGCCTTCGAGTTTCTCGCCGGATCTTCTCAGCGGGTCGCGATTCCGATTCGGTGGTAGATTTACGAAGTATTGCTCTTGCTAGGACCAGTGTTAAATAACCTCTCTCTCAGCTTGGACCCGTAAGCTCACCTACCAGACTTTAGGTTACCAGCGATTAGGAAGAGCAAAACATGCTTTAGTCGTTTGACGTAATTTGCTATCTCTTTTTAAATATCGGACCACCCACCAAATGAACAGTCCCCACGCAGAGCTGCGGTTACTCGTAGCGCGTTTTCAGAGATCATTTTTCCAAACAAAATCTAGCACTAGATAGAATTTAGAAAAATACTTCAGTGCTAGACACCGGCAGCTCCGGTTTTCGTGAGCAGCAGTAACAATTTACGATCGGATGGAACGTAAACACCTTCCACCTTCAATGATATTAGGAGCTCTTGTGAGTCCGCGCGGATAGGTACCACCACCCTACCTATTTCTGCCGTGAAGCAGTAATGCATTTCGATTTGAAGGGTGGGACAGCCGTTGTAACTATACTGTGACCTTAGAACTTATATCTCAAGGTGGGTGGCGCATTTACGTTGTAGATGCCTATGGGCTCCAGTAACCACTTAACTGTGGTGGGCTGTAAGCTCGTCCACCGAATAAAGCAATAAATAAAAAAAAGATTTAAAAAAAGTTACATCACTAAAAACATTAGAATAAATTTACATGTTCTTTTTTTACTCAGAAAGGATTCACTAGAAAGGCAATCACGGAATGACATAGATATTAATGTATTCTTTTTTTGCTGACATGCTGTCCACACTATATCGCAGGCACTCGTGCGTAAATCATGATATTAAAACATTCGCTTCAACTGTAATTACGTAACTAATTCCTAACATTGAAATAACCTTTCCGTCCAGATCAATATCTGCTTGGATTAATAAAAATATTAATTTGAACCGCCTCCCAAGTTTAATAAGTTGTAAGCAGAGATCAGTGTGAGATAGCATCAGACTCTGTTTTTTGTTCGTCGTAATCCAATTCTGTCTTGAGTTTTTTTGTGTTATTCCGCTTTTATTTGGCCACATCTCTATCTGTATCCGTTGTTTTTTTTTCTGTGCACAAAGTTATCGGATTTAATGATTGTAATCTGATATGCATTTCGTAGGGGTAAGACGTCGACCCAAACTCAGACGCGTCATTGAAACCGAACGAAGAGGCATCATCATAGTCGCCTCATTAGACTTTGTAATTACAGTCGTGGGCTGCGTACGGGCTACGTCCCTGCACTAAATCACGACAAGACCACTCTAATAGGCGAGGCCAAAGGAACTGGCGTCCCCCAACAGCCATAACCGATTGCAACACAATGGGCTTTAATGGATGTCTTATTGAATATTAACGTTACAAAAGCCCTCTCAGCCTACCGTGGGCCGACGAGTAATCTACTTTACATATTCCGAATGAAATCTGTATGTAAAACCGTCGCCTTCTATATTTAGTATTGAGGAAAGTGTATTAAAACAAAACGTTATGACAGAGACTTTCACATGAAGCCGTTCAACATATTCCGCTTGTAGTGGCTTCCGACAAAGCTAACAAGACAAAACAGGCACAGATGCAGTGCAAGAAACAACACACCATATTGGTAATGGAAGCGAGTGAAAGTCGAAAGAGCACTAGAAACACTAGATAGGCACTTTGTGATAAGCATCGGCACGCTCTCCACATTGTTCGCGCTCCGATACATGAGATAAGGCTTTCTCCTCTCATCACTCTAGAGCTACCGTGAGAACGTCCATCGTATGACACCACTTGACATTTGCAAAACAGGAGCTCCCTTATCTTAGTTACGCATCTGCATAAAATTGTTCGTTATCACAATCCTGGAATACGAGACTTCAGCTGCAACGTTTACGAGCGTCATGCGCCCATGCGAGCTATTTAAAAGGAAAACCAAGGTAAACGACACCATATAGATCAGGATAAGGTATAACAAGTTCCAAATACGAATAGCATACTAAGCATTACATAAATGTAATTTAAACTCTGTATACAATAAAGGCTATAACAGGGTTAAACAATTCAAACCGAAACATATTAAATTCAATGAGATTTAAATTCGCTAGACGTCGAGGAGCCAATCGAGCCAAAACCGGTGTTACGGCCTGTTGCGCCACACCCTTAGCACGTATGGGTATATAATTACAATGGTCGTGCTTCATCAACATATGCAA